ATTGAAATTATAATGAGTTTTGGGCCAAAGTAGAAATATGAAAAAAGTTTTATCATGTGAGAAGTGTGGTATGTCATGTGGTAAACCACATGGTGTGATGAATAGTGGTTTATAGGGAATGTTTTGTCACCTATAAATAAGTGAGTTTGCATGGTAATGAAAATATAGAAAAATTATGTATTATATGTGTGATATTTTATTTCATTGTGACTTTTTCTTCTTTATTTTCTTTAATTTTATAATAAATTCTAATTTTTACCATGATTTTATTTCATTGTAAACTTGGTCAAAGATATAATTTTTTCTAATATAATTTCTTCCGAACACTTCATCTATTTTTTATTTATTTTTTTTAATTCAATCTTCCAAACACTTCATGTCAACACCCAATTAGACAGTGAGATAGAGCAGCTACAAAATTCCTGACACGTCACAATTTTTTAGATAAATACATAAAAGGTATCCGTAGAGACAGACACACATCATATACCATAATAATTTGGGAGACTTATATATAGGCATTAATAGATAAATTTATTATTCAATAAATTTTATAATAATTAATGATATTTTTTATTAAAATTATTATAAAATAAAATATTAATTGTTAATTTTTAATGACAGCTTAAAAATTTATCACAAAAAATTATTAATTTTTAATTTTTAACGTCAATTTAAAAAATTTGTTACAAAAAAATTACTAACCATTAATTTTTAACAATATCTACAAAAAAAAGTTAATCACAAAAATTAATTTATAACAATAATTCTACTAAAACTTATTTTTAAGGAATCAAATCCAACTACCCTAATAATTTTCATACATGACAGCTCAATGGTTTGTTAGCCCAATATCAGAATCTTTTCAAAAGATTTTCCTTATCACTAAATCTAAATCAATACACACATGTCAACAGGAAAGAATAGTGGTGGACCCAAGTCACATGATTGAGCAGCCGGTTGGTCTGTACATAACCATAAAAAAAAAAAAAAAAAAAAAAAAAAAAAAAAAAAAATATTTTTTGGCCCAATTTTTTGTTTTTTGGGTGAGATATAAGAGAATAAACCATGCAAATATCTGTCACTTTAAGTTGCTTTTCATAATTTGATTGATTAAGGGTTTACTAATTATAAATTCTCCTCCTCCTCTATCTCTATATTTTATATGTTTGAGAAATTAAGATCAAGTTTGGTATAACTTAAATAATATAAAAAGTTAAAAAGTCACTATCTTATTTAAGTCACATCATCTTGTTTAAATCATATCACCTTTCTAACACATCAAATCAAACCCAACCCAAACTCAACCCATATAAGCTAATAAGTCAAAAAGTGTACTTTTTTAGAACATCTCAAATCAATCCTAAAAGCAAAATAAAGAACAGAATAAAGAATTATGTTTTCTCAAAACATATTTTATTTATATCAACAAAAAAAAAAATTTAATGGCTCCTAATGAGGTATTGCACGATCGCAAAATGATCTTTCTATTCTATTCCAAACTTAACTACTTATCCACACAATTATTTATTTTTATCATAATGTAATTGATGATACATTCAAATCTTGTGAACATCTTCAAAATAATTGTTAATTCTTTGGGCGTGTTTGTTTGGACAGACTGGATAAAGGAGGAGTAAAATCAATCGGATTGTAATCTTGAGATACATAGTACTTGAACTATTTGGTTGGATAGGATATGTATCTCATATTTGTTTAGTCATAAGATTAAATATCATGAAATGACTATTTGGTTGGATAGGATATGAATCTTATGTTTGTTTGGGATATTATGAAGAATGATAAATGCTCAAATGACTATTTTATCCTTTTCAATTATTTACTGAGTAATAGCAATGTTAAACATATCTTTAATATTTTTATTATTTTTAGCTAGATTAAATAAAAAATTATTTTATTTTTTAAAAATTAAATAAATCAAATAAATAAAATATCAATAAACATATATGTTATTTTTTAATTAAAATTTTAAATAGATTTATTTTAAAAAATAATAATAATTAAATAATGAAATTAAATAAAACATTTATTAAAATTTAAATAATGAAATTAAATAAAATATAAACAAAATTTTAAAATAAAACATCAATAAAATATCTATAAAAAATTATTTTACACATAAACCGCGTGCATAATAAAAATCAATAAAAATTAAATTAAATTATTTTATTTTTAAACTGAGACATTTAAATTTTATTGAATTTTACTAAATATAATACATAATTAAATAGTAAACGATCAAAATAATCATTTTACCACCTAACCTCATATCCCCCTTATCTTCCATTTGTGTCCTCTCCCATGGGACACAATAATCCAACACATTTGAGACTAATAATCCGAAACAAAATTAAAAAATAAACAAAGGACATAAATCCTATATCCTTTCTAATCATATCCCACCCTCCAATCCCTTGAAACAAACAACAAGCGGATAGTCCAAATTTCAATCTTCAAGGTAACAAAGAATCCCAAGTTGCTATTGTACCACAAATCCAACAACTTGTATCATCTCTGGATGATTTTCACTCTCTACGTCTACGTGCGAACTTACTCCAAAATGTATGATAGTAATTAATTTTTAGTCATGCTATAAAGATTTTTTTGTTGTTTGACCTAAAAATTAATTTTTGAGTAAAAAAAAAAACGGAAAAAGAAAAATTACCTAGAGAAGACATGACCTAGAAAACATAATTATATATATATATATATATATACTGCTTAGCTAATCAACCACTTGATTATCTTTAACCGATCAAATAAAGATTATCTTTTTGATTTAAAACATCATCTTGAAATTTTTGAATACATAAAACAGTGGATAAAATTTCCTTTTTAATAGTACTATAATTAAATTGTGCTTTATTCCAGACACCAGAATGATAACGAACAATTTGTTCAGATGATTGAGCAGAAGTAGCTAAACAGTTAGAAACAGGATACAACATCACTTGGCTCTGATACCATCAAGGCGGAAGCAGTACATACAGAGATGGATTATGAAATCGATACATGAAGGAGAGATGGATTATGAAATCGATACATGAAGGAGATGGATTATGAAATCAAAAAGCCACTGGAATAACAATTCAACATTTAAAACATTTAACTGAAAACATTTAAATAAAATACATTTATATAAACTGAAACCATAACTTACAATTGTATTAGTAGCAACTGCAAGGATCTTAACTAGGTACAACGGGGAAACTGGTAAGGCTCTCAAAACACTCTGTTTTTTCTTACAACAAAGATGGAGAAGAAAATTGAAGGATGCCTGAATGCCTACAATTGATTACAATATAAAGAAATAAAAAGCAAAACAGTGAGCATGTGAATTCTGAAAGCAGCTGGCCGAGCAGGTGAAAAGCAGATGCTGTGGGATGCTTTTGGTGGAGTGATTACACAACTGAGCAGCCTTTAGCAAAAGTTGATTGGTTGACGGTGAACAGTAAAAGTGAACAGTAGTTTTTACTATTCATTATTTTCGGTGGAACATGTGAATCAATATAAATACAAATTGGCAGCTTTTCTCAAAAGAGTATTGATTGAAGCTAATTTGTATCTATATGGAATCCAATGTTGATCAGATAAATGGGTCTTGAGCATCTTGAAACTCTGGTCCGGAATATTGATTGGTTGATTCTTCTGAGGAATGGACCTGAGCTGAATCATCTGAATTATCTGAATCGGTGGATTGGGCTTTAGCTTGATTCAACAGTTGATGGGCTAACTGGATCATGTCGGCTTTGGATGATTGGGTTTTACTTTTGGATTTCCCCTTGGGCTGAACAGGAGGTGGAATGGGCTTTGTCTTGACTTTGGACTGTGCTTTGGGCTTGGAATGGGCTGGTTGAGCAGCAACAGCTTTGGACTTTGATTTTGTTGATTTGGGCTTGGAGCCACTGGATGAGGGGCTGCCAAGGTTGACTGGAGGAAGACTAGGCTGGCTGCCTTGAGTGATTGCAGCAGTTGGGTTCTGCTGGGTTTGAGCAAGAGCAGGAGTTGGAGCATATTGATCAGGTGGAAATTCTGCTGGAACAATTTCAAGAATTCTGGGAACATTGAATTTATCCCACCATTTAACTGTGTGTTGGCGGATGATAATATTATCATCAATCCCATAATTCCATTTGAATATCCAGGGAACCTTGTATTTGGCAATGAATATGAGTAATAAGGGAAATTGCCTCTGGTGAGCAGAAAATGGGAAAACAGAGTTGAAATAATGAATTATATTTTTGAGATCATCAGGAAGGATAGCTGAAATGACGCCATAGTGAGACCACCATCTCAGAAACCAAGTTGGTAACTCAGATTTGAATTTTTGATCAAATGAGATGAACCAGGAATGACTGAAAGTTTCATTTTGGTACAAGAAAATCTTGAACCAAGCATCAACGTAATCATGATAATTGTATGGAATAGAATGACCAGGTAGGTCACGAAGCTGGTTAGGATTTCCCCATTCAGCCATGGAAACAATGTTGTGAATATAGAGTGAATGGTATAGGACCTTATAGGCATAGGTGCGGTCCTGAATTGGCTTGATTAAGATGGAATGATGGTTGATTAAAATATCCTTGTAATAGGCTAGAGTTTTCTCTGGATGGGAAAGGGTGAAATGGCATCCAGAGCCAAAATGGAATTTAGCAATGTCATTGATGGTTTGATTTCTTGGGTGACTAGGTTCTTTATAGAACAGGTTGGTAACATGTGAATTGGTATATTCAGACCGAGATGATTTAATAGGGTTAACTGGGAATGGAGTAACTGAAACAGATTGGCTAGATACAAAAGGATCAGAGGCCAATGCAGATGAATAATCAGGGCGTTGAATAGTACCAAGGGTCTGGTAACGGTTAATGAGGTCAAGTGAATAAGAGGGGGAAACTGACTCCAAAGGAGGAGGGACAATGAGTTGATTTGGTTTATGGGAAGAGGAGGCCAAAGCCTTTGAAGGAGGCCTTGGATGGACTTGGAAGATGATTTCTCTACTCATTCTTTTTAAATGAATTTCAGCTTATTGAATAATTTTACCTTTCCACATTATGATCACGCTTCTGTGCATATCTAAATACATAGAATAACTTTAAATTGTTGAGCCATTCTGATTGTTAACTTCGAGTAGTGTTCTTTGTGAAACTGTGAATAAGCATGATCTATTCTATCCAAAACAAGCATGATCTAATAATTATTTTATATGTAACAATTACTTTTTGTAGAGCATGAAACATGTGAGTTATGCACTTCTGTTTTTTTTTTTTCATATGAAAATGAGACAAGAAGTTAAGAGTTGCTAGCAAAATCATGTCTACAAAAACATGTGTTGTTAATTATAAGAAAATATTAGTATATATTAGTATAGCCAACACATGTGTTGTTAATTAACAAAAGGGAATGTTATGTTCTGTTCTACAAAAACAAAATATTAGTATCTAACAAACATAAAATAAAAGAAAAAAGGTTAATGCTAAACTCTTATTCTAGATTGTGTTAAACTCTTTTGTTTTGTAAAACTAATTGAGTAATATTTTTTAGCATTTTTTTTTTTTTTTTTTTTTCTTATGAATTTTTGAAAAAGAAAAAGTTATCTATAAAAACTGACAAGTTAAAAAATTACTAAAAATTGAAAAAAGAGTAAATAATAGTTGATTTCAATTAATAGTTGAATGAAAATGAGTTTTTTTTTTGGAGGTTCTCCTCTTTTTCCTAAGGAGAATAGTGAAGAAAAAGTTTTTTAAAGCACATTGGTAAGCCTTGAAAAACCAATTGAAAATCTTGTCTGGTTGAATTGAATCTTTTAACTTTATTAGTTCATAAATCTTTTGACTTTATTAGTTAATGTTCCTATTTAATGGAGAGGCATGTCATCTTCTAGTAACTATTATTCTAGTGGTGAGAGCTTCAACTTGAGGTATGAGCCTTTGAAATGTGATTGTGGGCTAAGAGCTGCTATAAGGGTTACCGAGTCTGACAAGCCATCTAAAGGGAGACTGTATTTCAATTGTAAGAAGAGAAATTGTCAATTTTGGAGGTGGTGTACCCCAAAATTTATTACGATGGTAGAGAGGCTGAGGAACGAGAGAATGATTGATCAAAATCAACATATGGAGACTGTAGGACTAAAAGTGAAGAACCAAATGCTTGAGCAATCCAATGCTTTCATGAAGCAACTTGTTGTGGGTCTGGTCACGATTTGTATTGTTATGTCAGTTACATTACTCTTTAAATGATGATAGGTGCCGTTTAGAGATACCCGATGTTTTTGTGCTAAGTAGTTTACCATGAACTATTGTACCCAATGAAAGTTGACATAATTGCCATGTATGGTTATTTTGTACTAATCTAGTTATTATAATGCAAGCACTGATGAATGAGTTTGTTTTAAATTTTTTTTTCTTTCATAGAATGAGTACCCAAGAGGAAACACAACCTGAAAATAGGAAGAACAAGGGAAAATCAAGTCAAGTACCATCCGTCAAAGCTCATTGGGATGCAAAATCAAATGAAATTTTTATTAAGATTTGTGTTGAGCAAGTGAAGGTTGGACATAGACCTGGTACACACTTAGATAAGGTCAGGTGGGAAAATGTGATAACTAAGTTTAAAAGTATGACTGGAAAATCATACCAACGAATACAAATGAAAAATTATTGGGATGTGTTGAAAAAAGATTGGCTTTTATGGAATAATCTGTTAAGGGGTAAGACAGGTTTTGGCCGTGATCCATTAACTGGAGCTATATCTGCATATGATGAGTGGTGGACTTTGAAATTGGAGGTACGTGAATTGCTTAATGTACATATTTTGTTTGTTTTTAGTTTAAATACACCAAATTTTGTTACTTGAAATTGTTACTTTTTCCTTTGTAATTGTTGCAGAGGTATCCTGATGCTGCTAAATTCCGGCGTATGTCGTTGCAATTCGCTAAAGACTTAGACATACTATTCTCAGATGCAGCTGCTACAGGAGAATGGGCATACACTCCTAGCTCAGGGGTAATGCCTCAGACTGATGAGACGCCGGAGGAATTTCATACCCCACTTGATGCTGAATTTCATGATGATGCTGATTTTGAGGTGGTTCATCCTTCCGAGCAAAACAAAAAACGGTCAGCGAACACTGATACTTCATCAACCAAGAGCAAGACAAAGAAGAAA